GAGTCAACAGAGAGATAAAAACCAAAAAGCTTTACTGTTTACTAGGAACTAAATCTAAACTAAGCTCATACAATAAGCTACTTTTATATAAAACTTTAATCAAACCAATTTGGTGTTATGGTATACAATTGTGGGGCAGTGCTCATAAGACTAATATAGAAATTATACAGAAATTTCAAAATAAATTTTTGAAAATTGCCTTAGGAGCTCCAAAATATATTCCCAACTGGTTGATTCATACCGACACGAATACACCTACCATAAATGAAGTAATAACAAAAACAGCACAGAAGTGTAGAAACAAGCTAATCAATCACCCAAATACATTAGCAAACTCATTGATAACAGAGAACTATCGAAGAAGATTGAAAAGAAAAGCACCATTGGATCTAAGCCATCAACTCTCCTGAGAAAAAAATTGAAATAACTTAATCATTATTTATAAGTAATTATTCAATAATAAAATATTGTGAATTTTATATAGAAAGGTAAAAACAACTACTGAGTTGTTTTTTCCAACCATGACAATGTAGTATACAATGTCCCTTCTCGACGGACTATTGTAAATTCATTAAATTTACTAAATGTCCTTTACTGGACAGTTGTAAATAAAAGAGTTAATAAAACTAGTTGGTTTGGTATTTAGCCTTGAGGCAAGTTACATGAACTTCCCGAAATGTGTAAATAATCGACTTAATCAAAAAAAAAATGTGTAAATAATATACTTCAATAATCCTACTTTTAAAAAAAACGATAATAATTTTAGCAAACTTTGACGAATTTTTAAAATTAAACTACTTGTCGTTAGGCCGTAATATTACAGTAAGTTCTATAAGACCATGATGTATATCGCCAAAAAAAATTTCATGAAAATCGGCTTAAATATTTTTTTCAACAGTTAATTACAAGAAAACGGCTCGGTAGATTTTCACCTAAAATTAATCAGTATCATTCCCAACTAATATCTTTCGAACAGTTTTCGATATTTTAAAATCGGTTCGGTAGGATGAGCTTAAATGTCGACGAAAATTTAACACTTTTTTCAACAGTTAATTACAAGAAAACGGCTCGGTAGATTTTCACCTAAAATTAATCAGTATCATTCCCAACTAATATCTTTCGAACAGTTTTTGATTTTTTAAAATCGGTTCGGTAGGATGAGCTTAAATGTCGACGAAAATTTAACACTTTTTTTCAACAGTTAATTACAAGAAAACGGCTCGGTAGATTTTCACCTAAAATTAATCAGTATCATTCCCAACTAATATCTTTCGAACAGTTTTTGTTTTTTTAAAATCGGTTCGGTAGGATGAGCTTAAATGTCGACGAAAATTTAACACTTTTTTTCAACAGTTAATTACAAGAAAACGGCTCGGTAGATTTTCACCTAAAATTAATCAGTATCATTCCCAACTAATATCTTTCGAACAGTTTTTAATTTTTTAAAATCGGTTCGGTAGGATGAGCTTAAATGTCGACGAAAATTTAACACTTTTTTTCAACAGTTAATTACAAGAAAACGGCTCGGTAGATTTTCACCTAAAATTAATCAGTATCATTCCCAACTAATATCTTTCGAACAGTTTTTGATTTTTTTAAATCGTTCGGTAGGATGAGCTTAAATGTGGACGAAAAGTTTTTTTCAAATTACAAAGAAACGGCTTGGCAGATCGTTGCACAAAACTGACAAACGATAGTCCTCACCGAAATACATCAAATGGCTTTTAAATTTCTAAAATCGGTTCAGGCGTTTTTGAGAAAACGTCGATCAAAAGTCTAATTTTGACAAATGCCAAAAAGACCATACTGATTTTTGCAAACTTCGACGAATTTTTAAAGCTGAACCAGTTGTCGTAGGGCCGTAATATTTTAGTATGATCTAGAAGACTATGGTATCTATCGTCAAAAAAATAATCATAAAAATCGTCGAAATTTTTTTTTTTAAAACTTTATTACAAGAAAACGGCCCGGCCGATCTCTACCAAAAACTAATCAGCACGATTCCCAACCAATATCTTTCGAACGGTTTTTGAATTTTCAAAATCGATTCAGAATTGCGGGCTAAAACGTAGACGAAAAATTTTTCACTTTTCTGCCATTTATGGAGAAACGGCTTGGCCGATCGTCGCACAAAACTGACAAACAATAGTCCTCGTCGAGATACATCAAATGGCTTTTAAATTTTTGAAATCGACCCAGCCGTTTTCGAGAAAACGTCGATTTACGGCAAAAAATCTGTTCACATACACACACACACACACACACACACACACACACATACTTTTTCCAAATTTGGTCTCATTCGATTCAGAATGGCTTGAAACGTCGAGAAAACATAAAATTAGCGAATCGGGTTTTTTGATGAAAACATAAACTTCTCCTTCGGGAAGTTAAAAAAAAAAAAATGGCACCTGTAATAATCCGAGATCCTCTGCGACTGAAACTCTGGACAATTTTATGGAAATCAGCTGGAAAGTTTTCCGTTATTTCCAATACCCACTAATATTTTTTTACTATAATCCAGTAATCCAAACATCTCAATATTTCAGCACCCTCTCGTTTTTAATAGTGCCGGATTGGTGAGATTCTAATGTATTTGTTTTAGTTACTATTTTTTATTTGCTGTTGAAAGAGTAGAGCAAATTTAATAATTTAGCTCTTGCGTACTCTAACAGGTCAATTGTTAGCAAAGTCACCAAATGTCATTAATAACACTATACGATGATAAAAATGCAGATTTTGAAGTTTGAAGGTTTTGGTTAATTTAAAATATTTTGGTCATTCCTGAAGTCTAAGTTTTACAAAAGCTGTGTTTGTTCTTACTGGAAAACGTAATAAACCCAAATTCGTCGTCGTTTTTAATAATTTTTAATTTGTTAAATTAATCATCCATCTACAATATTTTATAAGAACATCTGCTAAATAATGTATATTTTTTATTTAATAGGTGCACCATCAGTTCGATATTCACTCGTTGTCGATGAAAATCAAGGCTGGTTTACAATTGACCCTAAATCCGGAGCTATAACAAAGAGGCAAGTTTTAGATGGAAAAACAAAAGATTTGATAATATTGACAGTGCAAACAGAAGGGACTCCCAATACAGCATACGCTCAGGTAATTTAGAATTATATCAAAAGTGATTTCGTTTCTTATATTTACAATATATTTATGAGCCTTGATTTTTTTTCAGATTATTATTAAGGTTGATCCTGTACACAAGTGTGTGCCCCGGTTCCAGCATGCGTCCGTGCGCATATCTGTCCCCGAGAACGCAGTCGTATCTCCAGCAGTCCCTTTCTACGTAGCACATGCCATTACCCTTGATCGACAATGCTCTTCGAGGTATAAACTGTCATCTGCTATGGCCGGACCATTTCGTGTAGATCCAGTTCGTGGTTACTTGACTTTAACACAACCATTGGACTACGAATCGACACAGCGTTACGTCGTGGTAGTAAATGCTGCAGAGGAGGATACGGGTAGAGAGAAAAAATTGACTGGAAATCTGACAATTTTTATAGAAGTGCAGGATGTTAATGACAATGCTCCGATTTTTGAGAGACCGGAATATATAGTGAGAATTGAAGAATCTGCAGCAGTTGACACAAAGGTTTGTGTAATGGATATGATAAATTTTTCATACTACATATTTTCAATAAAAATGTTACGGCTATACCTATATTATTCTAATTGTGCACTAATTTTAGTTTTATAAATGAAATTATTTTAAGATCTTACGTCCGGAGAAATTTTAAGGCATGTTTCTTCGTAACACAATTATTGGCAGTGAAAAATATTATTGTCTATAAACGCGGTGATTACATTTACCCAGCTATCGGCTTGTGAACTTGTCTGCGCGACTTGTGATTAATAGTCTGTTGAAAATCACATTATTGAAATTGAAATGTAATTAGACCCAAGAGTGCTCTCTTAGCTGAGTACATAATAGGTATATTCAAAGCTCATTGTGTATTTGTGTAGTAGGTAAATAAGTATATCTATGCTTTTTTTCAATGACTTACAATGAACGGAGACGTGTTTATCTAAAAATTTCACCGAATGTGTGATACCATTTTCATACCGCATGAGTATAGAAATGCGTCCCTACACTATATACTGTAAATAGATATACAATATTATGTGAAAATTTATTTTTTATAAAATTCTTCAGATACTATACGAAATTAACGATATGGCTAATTATAACGGTATATTTTCTTATCGCCTTCTTATCCGAATAATATAGAATTTTTCGAAAATCTAATCTGAATTATATATGTATGAATTCTGGAAAAAAATGTAAATAATTGGGAAAAATTACTCATAACTTAAAATTAATGCTTATTATGTAGTAATAATGAAGCATACATTATTTAACAATAATGAATCACTATGGCATAATTTTTATAACGTAATATTTTTTTTATTTGTTAAATTTGCTTTTTTGTTATTACAGTAACTATATTTAAAAGCAATATTAGCGCATTTTTAAAAAAAAAAACGATACAAAAGATATGAGTTGACATATGTGTATATAACTATTATATAATATTCCGAGCGCAACGCACCGACGAAAAATCGTACGTCCGAGTAGAAAGGGTTAAACTTTATTGTTGATATCGGTACGCATACAACGTTGATGCCGGAACGCATATAACGACAGATCTCTATTCACATACACAACGACTAATCATAATCGACGCATATTGAAATGATATAATCGAGAGCAAATGACGAAACTTTGCATTGGCACTCGACTCGGCCGTAACGCACTTCCGTTGCATTTGTACGGATTTACACATTAGTCGCGCCTAAATAAGTTTTACTTAATGATTCTACGTAATTATGAAGTATCATTATAACAGCTTACAGGACTCCTAAATTCTGATTAATAAAATGAAAAAAAATCTTGTTTAATTATTTAGATTAACGCAGGTGGGTATACAGATCATCACCATAGATATGTTATATAGGAAGAATATAATAATATTTCAGATACCATAAATGTTTAGGGACAGGAATAATAAAAACATGGTTATGGACCCAGTTATCCTTGTATTATGTTTAGGAAAAATAGTTAAATTTGAAATGACATTTGTTATGTCATCTGGGACTTACAACATGTCGTGTGTGTGAGACACGTCTTCGATCCAAAACGTATGTTCAGTTCATGTCTACACCGACTATGGATTTGCTCTTTTCGAATTTCTTATATTCTTGACGAGCGCAGTTTTGGCGGCAGAATATATACAATTCATAGGAATCAGCACCTCAAGTGCATTCATGAGATTTTGATTCCTAAAATACATTGTAAAGGAGTAAAATAAATTAGCTGCATGGCTTATAAACCGAGAACTTATTTATTTATTTATTTATTCATAAGCAAGCCGTAATCAATAATAATAGATATTATTTCGGGCTTAACCCGCGTCATGAGAGTTATATGTTAGGAGTCAAAATTTAACTATTTATATATTTATGTCCATTAGAACATTATTGCATTTTAACATTGTTTTAGTTATTACAAGTGACTGCCGTCGACCTGGATAGCGGAAACAATGCTCGTCTTTCCTATCGGCTGTCGGGCGTAGGCGGTGTGGCGATCAACGATCATCTATCGGGTGGCCAAATGTGCCCCTTCGACGTGGGGGGTCAGGACGGATGGTTGTACGTACGAGGAAGCTTGGACCGCGAATCGAAGGACCGCTACGAGCTTATCGTAGCCGCTACGGACGCAGGGGTCGCGGGCATGGCCCTCACGGCCACCACGAAGATAGTTGTTATAGTGACGGACATCAACGATAATGATCCGAGGTAATATAAAGTATAAAATAATTTATTTGAATTTATATAAATAGAAAGTACTCATTAGAAATAAATGATTTTTTGAATATTCACTTTGTTGAATGGTCACGAGTTAATTCGCGCTTGTAGGGTCATTATTAGATGGAATTTAATGATTTAAATTTTTTTCTAGAAGAAACCATCAGCTTAGTATAATCATAAAAAATTTCTAGAAAATATTAAGGTTTGCTGTAAGTTTTATTCATATGAATTTTTATTTTGTTCATATACTAGAGTTAATTCTTTTTCCTAGATTCTCTTGGGATTCATATGAATTCGCGATTGAAGAAAATCAACGGCGTGGTACTATCGTTGGTGTTGTGCATGCTGTAGATGCTGATATAGATTCAAATGCTGCTATAAGTTATAGCTTAATACCAACGAATACTAGCTTCCAAATTCATCCTACTACAGGTAAGATTATTATATATATATATTGTAATCGTTCTTAATGAACATCTTCACAAAACTGTACAGATCACATGAATATTTAACTTCCCGTAGGGTAAGTTATTGTAATGGGCCGAAAATCGGAATTGAAAATTTTTACATTTCTCGACGTTTTGAAGGTTTCTGAACATTTTGGCATACCTCAGAAAAAATGGATGTGTGTGTGTGTGTATGTATGTATGGATACAAATTTCCAGTCACGTTTTCGGGCCCACGGATCAACCGATTTGAATGGTTCAAAAAATATTCGATTTCTATTGATAGGGAAAAGAGCTGATTAGTTTTTGGCAAAGGCAGGTCCAGCCGTTTCGGAGATACGAAGCAAAGAGTGCAGAAAATAGAAATCGACTTTTTGAGAGAACGGAGTATCCGATTTGAATGATCTAAAAAACATTCAATTAGTAATGATTGGGAAAAGTGTTTATTAGTTTTTGGCAAAAGCAGTCCTAGCCATTTCGAAAATACGGAGCTAAATATGTAAAAAATGGCAGTTTTTGAGAGAACTAAGCGTCCGATTTAGATGATTTAAAGAACTTTCTGCTTATCTTAACAAAATAATTAATTTTGGAAAAAAAATTTTTGTTCCAACTTTTTTTTTTTTAATTTTTTGTATATCGAAAAAAATTCAGATTTTATTTTTGATTCTGACTATAGTTCTAATATACTTTACAAATAATTTCAATTTTGCAATTCAGTTTATATAATTCTTATAAATATTAGACAATGTTACAATATTTATAATAATCTATTTAAAAACATTCAGTATTCCTCGAACATTTTGTTACGGTACGGAAGTTCCAGCAATTTGCCTTAAGGCACGATGCCATAATTGCCTCAAGACAGAATTCCACTTACAGCTAATTTGAATTGTTATTGTTGCTTTGATTATATATTATTAAAGTTATTGTTATGTGAAATAATGTAATTGAGAAGTTTTCAGAAAAATTAGTATGAGATCGCAAAATTAATGTGATAGCAAAAGAGTAGATAATGTCGATCATTTAAAAGTCGCATTTATCAAATTATTATTTTTACTCACATGTCTGAATCACGTTTTTGCACGTCATGTGAAAATTAAATAATTAATTTACATCGTCTTCAGCAAACTGACAATAGACAGTAACTCATATGTCTTTGACAACGTTCAAATCAGTTTAGATTGAACTATCAGCAAACTGTCGAATGCAAGGATCTCAACGGTTTTTAGAAGACTTCTTGCATATTACGTACCCAGAGAGGAAAAACAACAATGAAGGAAGCACGCTTGTCAAAAACATATTACGCAAAATGAGGTACCCTCATATCGTATCGTCTGGAATAATACTCCTTTTATATAACCATGACAAATCAGAATTTCATTATGTTGTCATTCGCGAAAGAGTCGTTTGACAATCGCGTCGAATATTTACGGATCGAATAAAAGAAAACGTCATTAGTTCTTAGTTTCTACATAACGCATGGCTAAGGATTACATTAATTTTTGCGACTTCCCATGGATGAAGACATAACTAGAAAACGTTTAATAACTAAGGGAACCTGTGCATTGACAATTGTGTTACACACACACATATTACAAACAAAATCCTTTAGTTTCCTTCTAAGTGTATTCCTGATCTATAATTGATAAATATAATAATTAAATATTTTAAATTCTTATTTAGCTCTTAATGCAGTGATTTCCAACCTGTGGGGCGCGCCCCCCTGGGGTGGCGCCATACCGTCCCAGAGGGGACGCGAAGCTGTTTCAAAAATATTATTTTTAAATGCTGAGTATGTGTCAAAAACAAATCAGCAAAATACTTAAAGTACTTCTAATAGTGTTTGAACTCAAAAAAGAAATTGCTATATTTCTTGCTGATAACAAAAGAGACGGAGCAATCTTGTTTTAGGACACAAAGTTTCTCGCAAAATTTGCGTATTTAGTTGATATTTTTCAAAGACTTAGCAATTTAATTAAATCAATGCAAGGATCTCAAATTCGTGCTTTTGTTCATAAAGACAAGATAACGGCTTATGAAAAAATTTGAACTGTGTATAGCTAGTATCAAATAGCTTTATAACTTTAACATGTTTTACACTTTTAAAATTACTTGTGTTACTGATGAAATAGAAGTAAGTAAAGATCTTATTATTATATCAGTCATATGACTAGTGTACGAAACTAATTTTCGCATTACTTTATCTAATTACGTCCAAATACGAATGGATTAGAAATCCATTTGTCATTGAGAAACATGATGATTTTGGTAATTCAATAGCAGAGCAGAAAATGATAATTGATTTATCTAATGATAGCATATTGACGCAGATGTTTCAGGACGAAAATATATTGTTAAGTTTTGGTTACCAGTAAAGGACGATTTTCCTACTTTGGCAAATAATGCTTTAGAAATTTTATTACCATTTGTGAGATCTTACTTATGTGAAACAGAAAATTCTTATTCAGTTATATTTGTATGTATATTTTTCATAATACTGTGTATTATTTGGCATAATTTCAGTTATGTTAAGTATATTTAAATTAAATTGTTAGAAAAATAAGAATGGGACAGGGACGCAATATTTTTATCATTCGAAAGGGGGGCGCAAGGAAGGAAAGGTTGGAAACCGCTGTCTTAATGTAATTAACGTTATTTAAATATTTGTGTCCATTCATAGGTGAGATAAGCACCCGGGAACCTCTGGATCGCGAACGTTGTTCAACACATGAACTGCACGTCGAAGCCCGCGACGGCGGTATTCCCGCGCGGCTTGCCCGCGTTTCACTGCGTGTCCTTGTGACTGACACAAACGATAACGCGCCAGAAATCGTCGACCCGCCCGGTGATTCTATTGCCGTCAGGGAAGGCGGACAACCCGGAGCGGTAGTCGCGCGATTGAGAGCGGTCGATCGAGACAATGGAGAGAATGCTACTATTGTTTATATTCTTGAAGATGGCGAAGGTAAGATCAATGCAATAAGAAGATTGTAATTTATTTGAATGTAAGTGTACCAAAATATGTATTATTTTATCTCTTCTTTTTTACGAGTAGATTTTAACAATAGTGTTTTATATATTTTTTACAATTTAATATTAATAAAATTTATTTATTAGGTGCTTCAGCTTTTGCATTGGATGCTTTGTCGGGAGTTTTGCGTACAAAAACTGTTTTGGTTCGAGAAGTTCGCGCCATGTACCGTCTTGCAATTGCGGCCGCCGACCGAGGTAGACCGCCGCGGCGAACTGTGCGCTTGATTAATGTTGAGGTCTTGGAAATGAATGATGATAGACCGACATTTTCAAGTTCCAGCCTTGTTTTCAAGGTGAGTACGTTTTTATGGATTTTGAAAAAACTAATGCATTCAATACATAAATACAAATGACTTTCTTCTTAATAGTAGACAAACTCATTTTCCTTTATTTTTAGGTTCGTGAAGATACCGCTATCGGTTATGTAATAGGGTCTGTGGGAATTGCTGGTTCATCAATGTTTTCCTACAATGAAGATTTTGAGAACTCAATCACTGATGGTAGTCGAATTATCTACACCATGACACCATCTTCTAATAATGTGCCATTCGATATCGATCGCCTTAGCGGCTCTATAATTGTTGCTCGCCCGCTAGATCGGGAAATAAATATTGAACATCGATTTGAAGTTAGAGCTGTGGCCGACGGTGGAAGAAATAGTATTTTAGTATCCGTGTTAGTCGAATTACTGGATATCAATGACAATGCTCCAAAATGGAGTTCTGACCTTCTCAAAATATCGATATCAGAAGATGCCAAGTTGGGTTCCAATATTTTCAATTACACGGCAAGCGATGCGGATGTAGGGAGAAACGGTGCCCTGAAATATAATCTCAAAAAGCAATATCCAATTGATGTATTTGCATTAGACTCTCTCACTGGCGCTTTGACGTTAACACAGTCTTTGGATTATGAAGCGATTAAAGAATATATTTTAGTTGTAGAAGCTATAGATCAATCAAGTAATATTTCTGAAAGACTGAAAACTTCCGTCACAACAAAAGTTTCCATAAAAGATGTAAATGATAATTCACCTTATTTTGTGTGGCCGGATACTTCTTTGATCACAGTACGCGATATTGGTACTGCCGGAAGCGAATTATTCAGAGTCAAAGCGCAGGATAAGGATTCGAAAGAAAATGGAAGGATAACGTATGCCATAAATGGGGGAGATATGCCTGAACTATTTACCATAGATTCTGTAACTGGAGTTGTTAAACGCGCCAATTCAGCTCCATTGCCTGCTCAAGTTAGAATAATATTAGTCGCAAGCGACAACGGTGTTCCGAAAAGGCTCAGTGATGAGTTTGTTTTGACTTTGAGATTTGTCGCGGATGATGAAACTATTATAACAAGTGCAGGAGGCCCACCTAAATTTACAGAAGCAGTTTATAGGGCCAGCTTACCAGAAGACGCACGTAGTGGAAGTTTTGTTGCACGAGTCACAGCAAAAAGTAGTTACCTTTTAATAGTTTTGTTCATATATATTATTGTGTTAAATCATCCTAAATAAATTTACTATTTACTATTTCAGGCGCATCAAACTTAAATCAAACAGTATTCTATTCAATACCATCGGGTTCAGCAAACAGCCTGTTTACTGTGGATTCTCAAAAGGGAACGGTATCAACTGTGGGTCCTTTGGATCGCGAAACACGCTCTCTCCATGTCATTCCTATTTATGCACTTGATAGTGGAATTGGTGGAGCAGTGTTCGACATTACCACTTTATTATTAACTGTAACGGATATTAATGATCATGCTCCGAGATTTACACAAGCTGCGTGCAGGCTCTTAGCCGTTCCAGAAAATAGTGATTTAGCTCCTATCAGAACGATGGTCGCTATCGATGAAGACGAAGGTCTAAATGCTCAGATCACGTACAGCATTACAGGTATTCTTTATTAAATGGTTACTTAATATCAATGAAACAATTCTATGTTGTAAGTTATATCTAACTATATTATTTCTTAGCTGGTAACTCCGGGAATAAATTCAGCATCGACCCTCACAGCGGTGTTCTAAGTGCTCGGCCGTTAGACCGCGAATCACAGTCAGTTTATCAGCTTCTTATATCAGGTCAGGATCGTGGAAGCCCAGTGTCTTTGCGTGGTTCATGCAATCTTACAGTAACTGTGCGAGATCAGAATGACAGCGATCCGATTTTCGAAAGGCCAAGATACATTGCCCGAATTCGAGAGGACGCTGTTGCTGGAACTACGGTGTTAACAGTCAAAGCAACTGACGCAGATGCTGGTGTAAATGCTAAAGTAGTATATTCATTAGCTAACGAGAGCCAGTGGTTATTTGATGTGGACGAAAAAACGGGAGTCATAACTACCACTGGGTAAGTGTTTATATGTTTACATAACGCAAATACATAAACACATACATATATATATACATATATATATATATATATATATATATATATATATATGTAAAGGTTATTGATATGTATGTATCTAATAAAGTTATTTCATTGTAGGACATTTGATCGTGAAATCAAAAACGAATATACGTTCCTAGTAGTTGCAACCGATGGTGGCCGTTATGACACTAGATCCACGCGTGTTCCTATTACTATAATCGTGGAAGATGTCAATGATAATAGACCAAAATTTACATCATTTCCTTTTCACGCTCAGGTCAACCCATTAACACCTCCCGGACAAACACTAATGAGACTTACTGCAATTGACGATGACATCGGCACGAATTCTGATATTGTTTACACTCTGGATGAAAGGACTCCTTCTAAGTTTCGTCTAGATCCCAACACAGGTGCTTTGACTTCATCACAAAGTTTGACTGGCGATTCCGGGCGAATGCTACATTTGAAAATAATAGCTGCAGATAAAGGCAATCCTCCACTCTCAGTAAGTGGCTTAATAGAATTACAAATAGGAGAGGAACAACCTGGAGCATCTCGATTAAGTTTCTTGAACTCAACTTACATTGCCTCACTGACAGAAAATGCACTCAGTGGTACAGAAATAGCACGGGTAACCGCAGTTCGTAGTGATGGTCGTAGACAAAAAATTATTTATAGTTTTGGTACAGGAAATGAAGATGAAGTTTTTGCCATCAATTCTAGCACTGGATTAATAACGGTAAAAAACAGCGCGGCTTTGGATTATGAACTAAAGAAAGAACTGCTAGTAAATTTAGTAGCCCAAACTGAAGGATCTTCAGGTCTTTATGGTTACAGTATTCTGAAAGTTACATTATCAGACAAGAATGATAATACACCCAGATTTACTCAACGAAAATATACCTCATATGTCTGGGAAGGAAACAATAAGGGTACGTTTGTTACTCAGCTTTCGGCTTATGATTCGGATGAGGGAACCAATTCTAGGCTAACATATCACATAGTCGATGGCAATCACGATGACGCATTCGCGATTGAGCCGCCATTCAGTGGTCTTCTTAAAACAAATATAGTACTCGACAGAGAAATTCGAGATTCTTATATATTGACCGTTATTGCTGTAGACGGAGGATCTCCGCAGCTGACCGGAACGGCTACCGTAAAAATTGGCATTGTAGATGTGAATGACAATCAGCCGACCTTTCCACCACAAAACGCCGTTGAAGTATCAGAAGGTGAGCTAAAGCATTTAATAAATAACGACATTATTATAGTTGAAGATTTTAATAATTTTTATACCTTTAAAGATCTCGAAATCGGTTCGGTAGTTACAACTTTAACAGCAAATGATGTTGACACAAATCCAGTGCTGACCTACCATCTGTTGTGTGTGAGCGAGTCGTTGCCAGCTCTGACATCGACAACTGCATCAGGAATTCGTCCACAAGTTTGTTCACATGCTGATAGCAGCGATCCAGTTTTTGGGGTAGATCGCTTCAACGGCGCTGTAACGCTTTTGCGACCGTTAGACCGTGAGGTCAGATCGCATTATGAGTTGGCAGTTCGCGTAAGCGACGCAGCCCACGAAGCGGTTGCAAAACTAACGGTTAAAGTGACGGATGCTAATGATAACGAACCTGTGTTCCAGAGACCGGCATACAGAACAACATTAATAAGACGAGATATAGCGGACAATGAAGGTGAGCTCAGAAAACATATATTCTTTGTTTTAAAATTTGCAATATTTAAAAAAATATCTGATAATATATTTATTGTTTTTTACACAGGTTTTTCAAATGCTCAAGAAATAGAATTATTCACTATAAATGCTACCGATGCTGATATTGACAGTAATGGTAAAATTCATTATTCCATGCTTCATCAAGTCGACGGCTTTCGCATAGATGCCGATTCTGGTTCAATTTTTTCTAATATTAGTACCATAACAACTTACCATTCTGATCGCTCTATATCATTGGCGGTCGTCGCACAGGATAACGGAGTACCTCGATTATCGAGCGTCACTGCTGTCTTGATCCAAATACCTGCTGGGCGCGTAATAGTATCGCATGAACTCAAGATAACTGTACCTGAAAATTCGCCTATAGGGTACCAAGTATCTTTATCAAATAATAATCGATACACAATGAACGACATTAGCGAAGTCTTTGCTTTATGCGATGATAAATTAGTTGTAATAGGCTATCTCGACCGCGAAACGCAGGCTGTTTATGATATAGAACTGACATCATCAGGCAATGAAAATAATCCAGTCGTTTTACATGTGGAAGTAGCTGACTTAAATGACAATCCACCAGAGTTTGAACGCGACGAATATGAAGTTGTGGTTTCTGAAAGTGAAGCAATTGGCACGTCTATCATTACAATGTCTGCTAAGGATAAAGATGCGATTGGAAAAAATTCTGATGTTACTTATGATATATTATCAGGGAATGATTTAAATCTATTTCGTATTAACTCGACTACAGGAGCCGTATATATTCAAAACACTCTTGATTATGATATTAATACAAAAGGAAATAAAATTGTCGCATTTTATAATCTAATTATTCGAGCATGTGATAGCGGTGAACCAACTTATTTATGTTCTATTACTTCACTAAATGTCGGTTTGAAAGATGAAAACGATAATTCTCCAAAATTTCCGGTAGCCGAATACATAGAATTTGTAGCGGAAAACGAGCCTAGCAACACTTTTATATTCACTGCCAGAGCAAATGATGCCGATAAGGTACCTTTTTTATTTACACGGATATATATATATATATATATATATATATATATATATATATACATATAATAATCATATTATTTAGCATAACATTTATAGACAATATGATTTATTTTAATTCTAGGGTCGTTTTGGTGAGATAGAATATAGCATGTCTCCAGCTTCCGATACCGAAGAGCTGCGTTCACTATTCAGAGTTGATTCGCGTAGTGGGCGTGTCACAACAGCGGGCATCTTGGATTATGAATTGAGTCATAGCTACACTTTTTCCTTGCGCGCAACGGATGCTGGCGGCCTTTATTCCAATGTCAGAGTACGAGTTCTCGTCGAAAGTCGAGATGAATTTCCTCCTCAATTCACCCAACGCAACTACCGATTTAGCTTGTCTGATGCTCGCATCGATGTGGCAGACGTTGTCGGTAGAGTTACGGCTACAGACAGAGATAAGGGCGTAGACGGGCGTGTCGTGTACCAACTTGCAAGTCAGCACGCATGTTTCAAAATCAATCGCACTACTGGAGAATTGATAGTGAAACGAAAACTGCACGATATCACTTTACATGATGATGTGAGGCTCGTGGTCACTGCCAGTTCTGGCAAGGCCGGTTCCTTAACTGATACTGCGCTTGTCGAAATTTCATTAGATGCTGCAGCATCCGGCACAAATTTAGCTAGCCGTGGAAGCGAGGGCGGCTTGGCGGGATGGGCGGTGGCTCTACTGATAGCTTTAGTCACACTGGGATTTGCACTTGGTGCTGTTGTATTATTTTTGCATGTAAGAGGTAAACGCTCGAAACATGTCGGTCTAGGCATGAAACCTGGTCTTGATCCAGGAGATGATTATGCAGATCCTGTCACTTTTGATACAATGCGCAACGTAACGAGTTCGGTTCCGGCTGCTTCAGGCCAATTTGCTCCTCCAAAATATGATGAAATTCCACCATACGCTATTGCGACTGATGAAGCTGGTGTAGCAGTATCATCTGTGCTATCAGGATCGGACCAATCTGGCTCAAGCGGCCGTGGTTCAGCTGAAGAAGAAGGAGAAGACGAAGAAATTCGCATGATAAATGAAGGATCCCAAGATGCTGATGCTATATCTGATGCATCTGTGCATAACACACAAGAATATTTAGCTAGGCTAGGAATCGTTGAAAATGCTGCATCTGGACCTGGTTCTACATCATCCGTTAGCAAAGAGTCTGCATTGCGGTTGTACGATGAAGGCCCAAATACCGTAGAACCGGATATAGCTAATTTGATCTATGCAAAACTGAACGAGGTTGCAACAGGTTCTGAAGATGGATATGGCGAGCATGGAAAACCGAGATCTATGCGTGAACAAGGGCCGTCTATGAACGGTTCATTAAGTTCTATCGTTCATAGTGAAGAGGAGTTGACTGGCAGTTACAATTGGGACTATTTATTAGATTGGGGACCACAATATCAACCTTTGGCGCATGTTTTCTCGGAAATAGCAAGGTTGAAAGATGATACCGCATCTGTTCATAGCGGTAGCAGTTCCATGAAAAGTAAAACGCAGTCTTTAAAAAGTGTGCCTCCTCCTTTACTAACAGCAATAGCTCCTAGAAGTGTACCAGTAACTATGTTAACAAACAATAAAAATTTATCGCAATACCATACACCTCGGTCACCGATTTCTCATGATGTGAGTACAAATGGTTTTTGTTCGTCGGCCGCAATGTCGCCTAGTTTCTCGCCCTCGTTGTCACCATTGGCGGGCACCAGGTCGCCTTCAATATCTCCATTGGTGGCTCCCAGGTTACCGCCGTCACACCGTGGAATGTCAATACCTAGACAAGTTCCGAGAAAACCAGTATTAGACACCGAATTGAGGATATGAAATGTATATCTCTCGGTTAACATAAATTAGTGTTATTTATCTACTAGACTGTTATACCTGATGATAATACTCGAATTAAACAATGGTAATTCAAATTTTATGTTTCTGGTATTTTAGTAACACCCATTGAAGGTGCTTGTGATAATGAAACGAAAAATGTAAATATAGTATTTCATTTGTAAATATCAGTGCTAATCGATAACTTTTTGATAATTGATAAGAAAATAAGACTGTTTAAAATTAAAATATTTTTGTGTTAATGCCATAAAGAAAAATTAGTCTAATATTATGTAAAAAGGTGACATTACCAACATCATTAAATTTTAAATTATTTAAATTTATTATATATGTAAATGAGTCTTGGATTTGTTATTAACTTGTGTTTTGTTCCGAACAGGAAATATATTTCGTATATATATATATATATATATATATAATGTGTGTAAATAAAAAATAATGTATAGAGCGTGAATGATAAATTGATGTAAAAAGTATACATGCATTTGTTGTATATATACATTTACTTGTATGATAATCAAATGAATCTGTTGCATTTAGTTATGAAACTCTGTAAATATTTTAATAATGAACATGTTAAAATAACTTTTGTTTTATTCAAAATATTTGAATTCTAATCAAATGCCATGATGATATATAATAATAAATTTTCAGAAATTAGAAATAAATTTATTATAAAAAATTAATTCGCGAAAGTTAGATTATAAATAGAAGATAATTGTGACTGATAATGTTTTCTTAAAAAAATATATAATTTATTTCATAGCTCACTGAAAATAAATTCAGTAACAGAGCAAACTATCTTTAATTGTTAATCTTAAATTATTTTGAATTTGGCGCCTACAGTTACATAAACTTCATTCAATGCTAATGGATGGCGCTCGCTGTTTGACGTTCGTCAAAATGAAAAATGACAATATGGTGAAAATATTGCAAAACATCTTTTCATAATGAACATGTTTTAGGTATATATCTATTTTTATATGCAAAATTATTGAAGCTTGAAGGTAATTTGCTGCATAATTGTATATTTATATACATTGTGCATATATATATATATATATATATATATATATATAATTATTTTGTACATCTATATAGACAAGATACAATTATATCAACAATTTAAAAAATGGCATCATGGATTGGATGTTTGGTATCAGTAAATTGCGGGCAGACATTGGGGTGCTATCAAGGAAAAATAAGCAATGCCAGTGCGAATCAGATTACACTAATAAAACCATTTCGGAATGGAATGCCTTATCCTCAACAAGAAGTCACTTTATGGTATATATAGATAAATATGTATTTATAGACTTTAAAGGAACAGTCCTCGAGATGACATTTTCAATATCTGCACTAGGAAATTAATGTGTGAAATTGTTCCTAGTAGTACATAAAGCAAAAATTAAAACAACTCATTATTGTTCCGTGTATTGTAATCATTACCAAAAATAGAAAGAGTAAGTTCTTAAGATCATAGTTTGTGCTCACATCAAGTATTGTAAATTGATATTTATAAAAAACATGTTTAAGTTTCATAAATGGATGGTATATATAAATAAATAAAATAATTATTTTGTTTTTAGTGCTAGTGATATTATCAAGCTGTCAATTATTGACGAACAAGTAGATAATAGGCAAAACTTCAATAGTAACACAGTACCATCTGTAAAATCAACAAAAAAAAATTTGATGTCAGTTTCAGATGCACTTACTTCGAGTCACACAGAACATGAAAATAATAAAGAACAACCTAAGGTTAAAGGTAAGCAGAACCAGCTAATAATAAACTTACATTCAAACAAAGAATTTGAAACATTGATTTTTTTACTATTTAGTCATTGTAAAAGTTATATTATCATTATTATTATTATTAATATATTTTTATTATATTATATTTATTATTATTATGTATATTATTATTATTGTTATTATTATAGGAGTAGTTATTAATTCACTTATAGTAGATGTGAGTAATGGAGGTAAAAGTGCAAAAATACTTACTACTAAAAACAATAACAGTTCAAGTATGAAGTGGGACAAGAAAAAAACAAAAGAAAAAAATGATGAATGCTTTGGAGGATTAGAAGACAGGAATATTGAAGAAGATTTTGACTTTGAAAAAAACTTAGCACTTTTTGATAAGCAAGCTATTTGGGATAAAATAAATGCCTCAAAGCCTGATTTGGTATATAAGTTAATATATAAGTTTATCATAACAATTTTTTTTCAATATAAATTGCACAATTATATATTTTTCAATGGCAGTTACGACAGGCAGGGGATAATATGTATAAATCAAATGAAAAAAAATATAGGCATGATGAAAATGTTATTGCTACAGTACCTGTGTCATATCGACCTATTTCTGTGCTTCCAGAACAACAAATAGTGAGCAATACATATAGATATCAAAATAGATTTGAAATGCAATATGTATATAAAATAATATTGAATATATATTTTTAGGATAATCAGCCAGCAAAAGAATATGTCACTGATGATGGATTAATTATCCCTAGTATATCAACCGATACACGAGATATAATATTTCGTGTAGCTAATAATGTTGGATTAACACATGAACGTAATTCAGAATTAATGGGCCGTGCTGCTACTGAAATTTCTTTACAGTTACTAGGTGGTGGAAGGAGATTGAACCCTTCAAATTCACACCAAGCACCTGTTATTGTAGCAATTTGTGGTAATGGCAGGTATGTATTGTCCAATCTCTGAGTGTTGCTTTGTTTTATTAAGTTATACTTCAATATTTCTTAGTTAAGAAATTTACAACTTTGTTAGATCAGGCAGCTACACCATGAATGCAGCCAGACAATTAGCTACTCATGGAGTAAAGACAGTTGTGATGAAAATCTGCAGTAGTTTAGATACTGCAATGGAACTAGAGCACTCACTATATAGACTTACTGGTCATAAAACAGTAACTAGAACTAGTGGTAATATAAATGAATTTAGATTATTTGCGGAAAAAATATTTATTTCTACTTAAAATACAATTATTTTTTAGACCTTCCCCGGCCTGATTTAATATTAGTAGGTTTTTCGCCAGGTGCAATGTCTTTAAGCAGTAATATGTCAATCAAAACTTGGATCAATGACATTAGAGTCCCTGTTTTAGCAATTGATCCACCAATAAATGGCTATGAAGGATTCGATTCAAAATATTCTATATTATCAGTTTTGCCACTATCATATACAGCCAGCAATGGAAAATTATATCTTTGCAATCTAGGATTACCTGAATTGGTTTTCACCAAAATAGGTATCAAGTACAAAAGCCCTTTTGGATCTAAATTTGTGATACCATTGCATAGTAATGACTATTTGTGTTAATGTATGGTAGAAATTATTTATATATAAAATTATATTCAGCATCTTATGAGTGAGATCTATAAATTTTAATATTTTGTTTTTGTCAATTGCTAGCATTTTTTTAACCTGTATAAATTCGTTTTTTATCTAAATTATATTTTTATAACTACATATTCTCATATTAAATACTTTTTATTTACACATTCACATTACAGATTGGAATAGTATGTTTGAATATATCTTTTAAATAAGGCCATAAGAATTAAAATTAAAATTGATGAAATCAGATGTTTCGTGGGGGAGATATTTGTAAAGACATTGGACTTTGAAGATGCAATGTTTTCTTCCCATTTTTCAGTCCACCATAGGATATAAGCCAGAAAAAAACTGTAGATATCAAAGTAAAAAACTATAAATCTACAGCTTCATCATTAAATGATGATAATATTAAACAGTTATAATAGAGTATTTATAGCAGCTAAAAAATATAACATCAATGGTGTTTTTGAAAAAAAAAATTATACAGAATGAAAGCAATTGTGATCTCTAATGGTTTTGTTATATTCATCCCAAACATGGTAACCTAAAGCAATTATTCCTGAATATAGGTTTTTCCACCGTAGCGTACACCCTAGACGATATAATAATACACAATATAGATAAACAAGTATATTACACAATATATTGTGTATATATATATATATATATATATATATATATATATATCGGCGTACACAATATATTATATATTTCAAGTATTAAACGAAAAAAAAACCCGCCCCAGAAGATACTGCATAATTGCGCAACCTGTGACTTGCACATGTATTCTGTAGCGTCTGTGGGATGTTTTTTGCGTAACTTGACAGACTGGTGGCCTGGTGCAAGCGAGTAGACATAAGCACTTTACGATTATTTTAATTGCGCAATCATTCATCCAGGCATGTTCATTCGTTAGCCGCGTGTGGCAGCACATGTCCCGTTTTTGTTTTACTTTGTATCGAATACGTAATTCAAATTTATGAAGTTATTAACTTTTGAAACTATTTAAATTAGCCCTCTGAACTCTTTGAATTCTCTTCCGATGCTGTAAATATATAAATTAATAAAATTATATATTTTTACGTTCCTTAGCTGACATTTTTGATATACTTGCGCAAATAAATAAAAATTAAACGGCGCTAGCATCTTCAACAAAAAAAACTGTAGTTTTAGAGCCCTAAACTGCAAAACTGAGCTTATTTATCTGTGATCTGAACTTATTTATCTATGCTGAGATCATTTTCAAAAAATTGTAGATCTACAATGTTTATTTATCTATGTGTAGATCGACAGCTAAAACTGTACACATGGCAACACTAGTTCTATGAAGGAATAAAATATCATTTACTGGTAGGGCTCATTTTTGACGTATTTGATATTTCGAGCTTGTTAGAAGGAATAAGGTTTGTACTTTTTGCATATATATTAATCTGAACTCATGTGAATAAATTAGTTTTTGTTTTTTTACCAAAAATCAAGTTATCGGTTTTTGATATAAAAGTGTGAATTATGTAAGAGCTCATAAGTAGAGTCAACGTAACTTTCATATAAATATTGAGTGCAGCTTTAAATATGTAATTAAACAAATGTCTTAATTAGTGTTGCAGTGAGAGTTTCTTTTATAACTATTAAATTTAAATCCATTCAAAAATTCTAACCTATTTGTGTAGTTTTATAGTAGATTGCATACCGAATTTTGCTATTTACTTTACACTCGGAATTCACTTACTGATAAAGTTTTCCAATTGCAGATAGGAATTAAGGATGTTGTCACGTGTGAATGGATCATTTAGCCCAATATGCAGTCAAATCGTCGCTGTTCCTTCAACCCAGCAAAACAGGGGCATGGCAACTCTGAAAACTATTTCCATGCGATTGAAATCTGTTAAGAATATCCAAAAAATTACACAATCCATGAAGATGGTGTCTGCTGCTAAGTATGTTACCTAAACTATATATTATTGCTATTAGTATTGTGGTTTGTTGATTATATTTATTTTAAATTAGATATTCTCGAGCTGAACGTGAATTACAGCAAGCTCGTCCAATTGGTATAGGAGCTTCCCAATTCTATGAAAAAGCTGAAGTAACAGGAGCTGAAGACAAGCCAGACAAATTATATGTTGCTATTACCAGTGATAGAGGTAAAGTTGAAACTCACTGCATAAAAAAATAAATGCTCATTTGTCATTAAATTTGAAGGTCTCTGTGGTGCTGTACATACTGGTGTTGCTCGTGTGATCAGGAATGAACTTGCTGCCACTAAAGATAACATTAAAGTAGTTTGTGTTGGTGACAAATCTAGAGCCATTTTACAAAGATTGTACTCCAAAAATATTCTTATGGTAGCCAATGAGGTAAGATAATTGAAAATCATTCAAATATAAAATAATAATTTTATAAATCAATTTTCTCATGATTTTTGGAACTCAGAGTATTTAATATATATCTATTAAGTTTTCATATAATGGGATTTTTTTATTCAGGTTGGACGTAAACCACCAACTTTCCAAGATGCAGCTAAATTAACAAATGCTGTATTGAATTCAGGTTATGATTTCGCATCCGGAAAAATAATTTACAATAAATTTAAATCTGTTGTCTCCTACAGTTCTGCTGAATTACCATTGTTTAGCCTGGGAGCTGTTGAGGTTAGTGCTTTGATTGCTTTAATTAATTAGAAATTTATATAAAGTTTTTAATTATCCAATTTATTTAGAAGATTAATTACCATAATTCAAACATTTGTCATCTTATTAATCTTTATGTAATATACTCTTTCTTTTTATAAAAAATAGTTTATATTAAAAAGCTGCGTGTATTATATATTTTTTATATGATATATTAGATGTTATTGTTTCTATTCATATTTCTAATTAATGTAATCAAACAAAATTTAAAATTTTGTTTGCCTTTGTTGGCTTATGTTGTTTGGCTTTGATCAAGGTTGAAATTATGGTGCATGAATGAGAATGGGTTCACTGTATGTATGCAATGGATTTAAAAATGAGTTTAATTTTATTCAATATCATTCTTTAAGCAATATTTTTCATTTTAGTCTGCCCCAAAATTGGGTGTATACGATTCCTTAGATGCTGATGTCATCCAAAGCTACTTGGAATTTTCAATGGCTTCATTATTATTCTACACAATGAAGGAAGGAGCTTGCTCGGAGCAGTCATCCCGTATGACTGCTATGGACAATGCTAGCAAGAATGCAGGAGAAATGATTGACAAATTGACATTAACATTCAACAGAACTAGACAGGCTGTCATCACCAGAGAACTTATTGAAATTATTTCTGGAGCTGCTGCTTTGGATTAAATTTCATACAAATATTTTAATATGTGGCTTCATCTAAGTAGCTCAATTTATTACAATATCTTTAATACTTTGTTTATTTTTATTTTGATTCTTGTACCAATATAAAAATAAACAAAATATTATTTTACAAAAATTTCTTATTATTTGTATATTTTGAAATTGTGGATTATATGAAATCAACTTGATAAAATAAACTCAGTGTAAAAATAACATTAAAAATGGTATTAGAGTAACTAATATTTGGATTTTCCTTTTCCTGCAGAATCCTGTTCTCGTCCGAAAATTATCCTATGTTCCCAATTTTATACCCCAAGTTAGATATGCGGCAACAATGAAAACTATACATTTGAGAGTCAAGTCCTTGGAGAGTACAAGAAAAATCACTCAATCCATGAAAATGGTAGCTGCATCAAAGTAAGATTTTGTGATTTTAAATTTCGAGTCTATTACATGAAAATGATCTCATGTTCAGTTTGATTTTACCGAAATATTGCTTTTTTGGTATCAAATTTTGAAATTAATATGTGAGTATATGTAATAATAAATATGTAACACTATTTTGTTTTAACTCTTATATGTATTTTTGGATTTCACAATCTACATTACGTTTGAAACCATTGTCTGTTAAAAGCTATTGAAATATTTTCATTAACATTTAAAATTTCAATGTAGATTTGCTCGAGCAGAAGTTGTTTTTCAGAAAATGAAAGGTTTAATGGATGCGTCAAGATTTTTTTTTGATAAAACTAAAATCAAATTGGATACAAATCTTCCAAATCAACTTATCATATACATTACAAGTGATCGAGGTATTTCATTATGAATAATATTGCTTTTGTTACTGTAAAACTTTACTTGATTACTGATAAACTTTTGGTACTATACACTTATTATGTGTTAGTAAGCATTCAAATGAAAATTCTACTTTGTGAACATTTATTTATATATTCCATTTCCATGTTTCTAAACCAGGCTTATGTGGGCCCGCCCATTCTGGCTTATTCCGTAAATTACGGGATGAATTGAAAGTAACCAAAACCAGTTATAAAATTGTTTGTTATGGAGTAAAGGGAAGAAACTTGATGAGCATGCTGTTCAGCGATCATTATTTATTTGTTGCTACAGAGGTAATATACCTATTTATATATTATGACTAAATTTAACTTAACAATAGAGTTTGACCAGATTTTTATTGCAATAGTAATGTAATAACCTTATTAACTTCCCGTAGGGCAAGTTATAGTAATCGCAAAAAAACGAAAATGAAAATTTTTATATAACTTTATGTTTCAAAGATTTTTGAACATTTTGGTATATACCTTAGAAAAAAAGGATGTATGTGTGTGCGTGTGTGTTTTCGTCCATGATTTCGGGAACACGGATCAACCGATTTGAATAATTCAAAAAACATTAGATCCGTATTGATAAAGAGACGTGCTGATTAGTTTTTGGCAAAGGCAGGTTTAGCCGTTCCAAAGATGCGGGCAGTTGATATTGGCATTTTGCCTTGCTGCAAGTTATATGAACTTCCCGATATGTGTAAATAATCGACTTACCTATAGCAATCGCAAAAAAATCAAAAATAAAATCTTTAGAAAAAATGGATTTATTTATGTTTGTTTGGATACAATTTGTCGTCCCTTAATATTAGTTACTTTTGTAACATATATACATTATCTGTTTTTCAGGCTGGAACAACGCAGCCTATTTTCCAGGACGCGGCCAAGGTTGTGGATCAACTCATAAGAAGCGACTACAATTATGAAACTGGAAGAATTGGTTTTAACAAATATATTGCTAAAATGCAAATAAGACCTTCATCTATTCCCATTGCCAATTTCGAAGTATTAAAGGTGAAATAATTTCCTAAGTTTAATCTTTAACTTATTGTTCGTATATTTTGACTATCTTCTCTATTATCAGTGTTATGATTGCATATTACTTTTTAGGCAAGTGCCATGCGTAATATATATCAAGATATTTCAGATGAAGAGTTGAGATGTTTTTCGGAATTCTTGCTCGCCATGCAATTGTATGGTGTACTTATTGAGAATTATACCTCAGTTCAATGTTCTCGAATGATGGCAATGGATGGTTCATCAAAAAGCGCAGCGGACGCAATCTCAAAACTAAAACTTCTATATAACAGGTATTAGAACATACAAAACAATTGAGATAGTAATAATGGAATCGATTCTCATTAACAGTGACATTATATTATTTCAGAACAAGACAAGCTACTATTACAAGAGAGTTAAGTGAAATTATATCAGGAAAGCTAGCGCTTGAACAAGAAGAATAGTTTTGGAATAAAATTGTGACACACAATGTGGAAAATAATACAGATATTTCAATGTAAGTCCAATAATATTATAATTCTAAAATAAATTCTTTTATTAAAATAAGTAGATAATTTATTTTTTTAAATTAAAACAAATATTTGAATGTACTTAAAACAGTAGCATATTTATTTTCTAATGTAGCTATATGATTTACATTTCATATATCTTACAATATAATAATAGTTAACAATTAATGTTTACTACAATTCTATGTTTCATATAAATATTTTACGTCAATGTTATTTAACTTATTGGCTTACATATTTGAGAATCATGTGAGATTCAATAATTTACATAAAAGTAGAATAAAAAAATTGTTTACAATAACTAACATGACACATTTTTACCACATTCATTTTACAAAGCGGAATAGATTAGCAATTACTTAATACACATAATAAATTTTGATCGCCTTAATGGATTTGAACTAAATCTGCATTTAGTCTTTTTCCCAATAGTATATATTTTAAAAAACAAAAATAAATGAAATACCGCGTTTTATTAAAAAAAATTCATTCTTTTGTTTAACAATGTAATTTATCATTTACCAGTTTTCCATGTACTTTAAGTTATAATCTAACAAGAGCATTCAAGTAATTTGTCAAAAATTGATTTTCCTTTCATTAATTTGATTAGTTTAACATATACTCAATTTTGAAGTACTCGTTATTGCTATCATCTATATAAAGCTATGCTGAGTTGGTTATTTTTAGTTTCATACTTAAACTTTAATAAGATAATATAAATTTGTTCTAAAAAACTCAAATTTTGTAATGATCAAAGATTCTTAAATAAATCATTTATCTTTTGTACTAAGTAAGCTACTGGATTAGGTCCTATTGTATACCTAGATTACCAGACTAAGCCATATATAAAATAAATAAGAGTCCTATTTTTTCTCCCGGAAAACATAATTTGGCATTGGAGTGTGGTTATTTTAATAGCAATATAATGATTTCTTGTGAATTCATTTTCATTACAATGAATTAATTTTAAAGTTTGTTACATAATCCAGTAACTTATATAAAGAAGTCTAATTAACTTTCAAGATTTTTCTTACTCTTCTATTGTATATATTTTGGCAGAACATTTTATCATTTTCAACATTCAGATAGAATATAGCAACTGAGGTAATTAGTTTCAAGGATCTTAAAATAAAGCCAATATATAACGAAATCTGTAATATATAACCAAGCCATTGATTGGTTATATATTACAGTTTAAAATGCATGCTTCAACTAGTGCTGCCTTTGATATGGAAGATTGCATTGTATATTTACACTAGATTCGGAAAAACATCCTCTTAATATCATGCATAACATATAATTCTAACTATAATAGCACATAAAGTTAGAACAAGTACCCGATATTCACAATTTCATTTTATCCACATATTTGTCAAATTAAATATCGTCTCAAAATAATTTAGCTACAGCTATAAATACTTATATATATTTTTTTTTCTAAAATATAAAATTAATAAAATTCATAAATACCAAAGTCTTATTGATTGCTACTTTTCTAGTCAATAAAACTACATCGTTCTTCACTTATAATTAGATATTAAATTAATTGAATTCCAATCGAAAAGTTATTTTTGACTAGTGTATATGATAATAATCGAGAAAATGGCGCGCCCGAAACGAAGACTTCGAAATTATTAACTTTCTTATATTCCCAATTAAAATTCATTCTACTTTAAAGTTTTTATGTGACATTAATATAATTATATTTTAAAAAATATAACTAAATTGAATAACTATTCTTATAAATTTCTATAAACATTGAACTCAATTTATCAAAAATGTAAATCATTTTATCCACATATTTGTCAAATTAAATATCGTCTCAAAATAATTTAGCTACAGCTATAAATACTTATATATATTTTTTTCTAAAATATAAAATTAATCAAATTCATAAATACCAAAGTCTTATTGATTGCTACTTTTCTAGTCAATAAAACTATATCGTTCTTTACTTATAATTAGATATTAAATTAATTGAATTCCAATCGAAAAGTTATTTTTGACTAGTGTATATGATAATAATCGAGGAGAATGGCGCGCCCGAAACGAAGACTTCGAAATTATTAACTTATATTCCCAATTAAAATTCATTCTACTTTAAAGTTTTTATGTGACATTAATATAATTATATTTTAAAAAATATAAACTAAATGAATAACTATTCTTATAAATTTCTAAAACATTGAACTCAATTTATCAAAAATGTAAATCTCCTGAAGAAAATAGAATAATTTATTTGTAATACTGAGCATTCCAATCAGAAGTGATGTTTTAATAATTTTATTCTGCACTAATTAGATACGGCCTTAAATACTTCATTCATTTCTAAATATTGGCACTAGCATTTTGTGTACTCTTAACAGATTTAGCCATTAGGAGGATGGGTAAATTTTTATCGGAGTTTTTAGTAATAGTATCACTTTTTTGCAAAAATTCTGAAACTTGGTTTGGTAATATTCTCATCCAATTTTTTATTCAAGTTCTCGCTTGGATATAAATCAGATGAAGTTCTGTCTAATATCTCTTTTAAGGAGCCTGTTTGCAAAAAGATTCTAATTCTGCCTTCATCTCTTCACAATCCAAAACTTCAGATTTTGGCATTACTATATCAGCACAAGAACTTTGAATTTTTCTTTTGAAGAGAGTTTTTTACTAGTTGAGGGCAAATTTCATGTTTCCAAAGCAGTTGACACTTCTCGATGTATGATAGCAAGTTCGTGAAGCCTCTGTGCGAGCTGATTGTTCAAAGTGAATAACACCTCCCTTTGTGAGTCATGCGCGGCTAATGCCATTTCCATTTGAAACTGGGACATTTTGCATGACTCTTGCAGTTCACTTATTTGTTTTGCATTTCAAGCTAAGAAATAAAAAATAAATTAAAAATATTTAATTTTAATAACTATTGTTAAGAAAAAGTATTCAACCTGTTGTTCAGAAACTTTTGGAGTTGATTGCAATTGCTTTATTCTTCATTTTTGCCTGCAGTTCACTTTCCAATGTTTCCACACGATGTCGTAGTGATGTGATTTCTCTACGCAATTCATCAGCTAAATCACCACCACCTGAAAATTTCAATTATTTGTTATGATTTAGCTTTATTACATAACTATACATAAAATATATTCATACATTACCTTTAGAATTTTCAAGGTCTTGTTGATATTTCATTTTAATTCTATGATTTTCTTCTTTATACAGTTGTAGCTGCCTTTTCCATTCATCCACATTAGCTGTTGATTCTTGCAACGCTGATGTAAGCCGCACATTATTATTTTTCAATGTTGCTAATTCTATTTCCCACTTTTTAGCATTTGCAGAACTATGAAATTATTGTATGTATATACCACATATATAACACAATTATATTTATATAAAAACAGGTCACTTACCTTTGCGCTAGTGCCAATTTCAATCTATCATTCTCATATTTTAATTGAGATTCAGTTTGGTGTCCTTGTTTGTCATTGGATTTATGATTTGGACTATCATTCTGCTGTAAAAGTATAGTATATTGAAGATTTAAATCTAATCAGTATTGGTTTAATTTTGGTAAAAACAATAAGAATACCTGGGCTCCAGATACAGAATGGCTCCTTTGATGTGATAATGTATTATCTTCAGAAACATGGTGTTTATCCTCTTTTGCAGCTGGAGGAGCAGCCATTATTTTTATTCATATGAATTGTAAACAAACTGTGCATACCTTTGTTCCTTCCACACTTATTATACGATATAAAGATCTTGATGAATCATAAAAAATGAAACCGACACTGCAGTACTAGAAGCAGACATCCAAGATCTCTTAGTTTTGGGTCTATATGAAAAACGTGCGCTTTGCACGAATATAGGCTGCTCACTATGGAAAAACTCTTTTTTAATTTTAAAGTAAAACATAATTGCCAAAAAAAATTGTATAAATCATATGCAAATTTTTATCTATGATATAATATTTCATAATGAAGAATAAAGCGAATTACAAAAAAACCGTCATCATATAAGCCATAATTTTGAATATGATAATTTTGATAAAAATATTAACTTAAACCAACAAATCAATTTTTACAAAAGTAGAGAAAACTGTCACAAATCATAGAGAAAAACAAATTCTCTGAATATTAGAGTTGTGAATAGCACTCGAATATTACCCCATTGTTGTTTTTCCTATAGTCATTTAAGAATTTAATGAAATAAACACATATTTTTCTATTATTTATAAAGAAACTATGATGGAAGCCACAGCACAATTACAACTCTGCATCTTACTATGCATGATACACAGAGAGGGCGTTCCGTACAGAGGTTCTCAATATGTTTCTTCATTGAAAGATTGTGCCAAAATTGAAAATCAAAATTGATAAACTGAAATGGTTATTAAGTGGTGTATGGCATCGTGCCTTAAGGTAAGTTGCTAAAACTTTCCGTATCAAAAATTAAATTTTTTAAAAAAAGATTAAATATGTTTTAAGCTTTGAAAAAATTAGATTTTCGAGAAAATTTTAAATTTTTGAAAAAAATTGATTTTTTTGGAAAAAAATGTTTTTTTTAGTTATATTTTGGAAATTTTGAACTTTTTTCAAAGCAATCGCACTGCTTTAGCTGCATAGAGATGCAATATCGAAGCGCGTAAGCGCCGCGTCGCCGTCTAAAGCACAAACGATGTTACTATAGAAATGTAAACAAAATTGATACACATTATTAAAATCTGCATAAAATATCCGATAGTTTGATGTGCATACGTCTAATGAACATTTTTGTTCTCAAAATAGCATTTTTTTTTACTTTTTTTACTAGATCTCCGAAACCGCTAGACCCGTGTTCCCAAAAATTTAATCAGTTCTTCATCTTGTCAATACAATTAAAATGTTTCTGAATTATTAAAATCGGGCGCTCCGTTCTCCTGAAAACTGAGTTACCGTTTTTGGCGCTTTTTG